GATACTCGTCGACTTTGCCACCTGCTGAATAGTCATAGTCACAGTCTTTGTGTTTCGCAGTCTAAACGCCGTCCGGTCGAAATCTCCAACCTGCAAAGTACCCGTCAGTGAGCTAGTTGTAGATTTGGACGAGTTGGAGCTTTCGACAGAGCACCGGCACTGTGGAATGACTTGCAAAGTACCCGGCAGCGAGCCAGTTGGAGATTTGGACGAGTCGGAGTTTTCGATAGAACACCGGCACCGTGGAATAACTTGCAAAGTACTAGGCAGTGAGCTAGTTGTAGATTCGGACGAGTCGGAGCTTTCGACAGAACACCGGCACCGTGGAATAACTTGCAAAGTACCCAGCAGTGAGCAAGTTGTAGATTCGGACGAGTCGGAGCTTTCGATAGAACACCGTCACTGTGGAATGACTTGCAAAGTACCCAGCAGTGAGCTAGTTGTAGATTCGGACGAGTCGGAGCTTTCGACAGAACACCGGCACCGTGGAATGACTTGCAAAGTACTCGGCAGTGAGCTAGTTGTAGATTCGGACGAGCTGGAGCTTTCGATAGAACACCGGCACCGTGGAATGACTTGCAAAGTACTCGGCAGTGAGCTAGTTGTAGGTTTGGACAAGTCGGAGCTTTCGATAGAACACCGGCACAGTGGAATGACTTGCAAAGTACCCGTCAGCGAGCTAGTTGTAGATTCGGACGAGTCGGAGCTTTCGATAGAACACCGGCACCGTGGAATGGCTTGCAAAGTACCCGGCAGCGAGCTAGTTGGAGATTTGGATGAGTCAGAGCTTTCGATAGAACACCGGCACCGTGGAATGGCTTGCAAAGTACCCGGCAGCGAGCTAGTTGGAGATTTGGATGAGTCAGAGCTTTCGATAGAACACCGGCACCGTGGAATGGCTTGCAAAGTACCCGGCAGCGAGCTAGTTGGAGATTTGGATGAGTCAGAGCTTTCGATAGAACACCGGCACCGTGGAATGGCTTGCAAAGTACCCGGCAGCGAGCTAGTTGGAGATTTGGATGAGTCAGAGCTTTCGATAGAACACCGGCACCGTGGAATGGCTTGCAAAGTACCCGGCAGCGAGCTAGTTGGAGATTTGGATGAGTCAGAGCTTTCGATAGAACACCGGCACCGTGGAATGGCTTGCAAAGTACCCGGCAGCGAGCTAGTTGGAGATTTGGATGAGTCAGAGCTTTCGATAGAACACCGGCACCGTGGAATGGCTTGCAAAGTACCCGGCAGCGAGCTAGTTGGAGATTTGGATGAGTCAGAGCTTTCGATAGAACACCGGCACCGTGGAATGGCTTGCAAAGTACCCGGCAGCGAGCTAGTTGGAGATTTGGATGAGTCAGAGCTTTCGATAGAACACCGGCACCGTGGAATGGCTTGCAAAGTACCCGGCAGCGAGCTAGTTGGAGATTTGGATGAGTCAGAGCTTTCGATAGAACACCGGCACCGTGGAATGGCTTGCAAAGTACCCGGCAGCGAGCTAGTTGTAGATTCGGACGAGTCGGAGCTTTCGACAGAACACCGGCACCGTGGAATGACTTCCAAAGTACCCGGCAGTGAGCTAGTTGGAGATTTGGATGAGTCAGAGCTTTCGATAGAACACCGGCACCGTGGAATGGCTTGCAAAGTACCCGGCAGCGAGCTAGTTGGAGATTTGGACCTTTCGATAGAACACCGGCACCGTGGAATGACTTGCAAAGTACTCGGCAGTGAGCTAGTTGTAGATTCGGACGAGTCGGAGCTTTCGATAGAACACCGGCACCGTGGAATGACTTCCAAAGTACCCGGCAGTGAGCTAGTTGGAGATTTCGATGAGTCGGAGCTTTCGATAGAACACCAGCACCGTGGAATGGCTTGCAAAGTACCCGGCAGCGAGCTAGTTGGAGATTTGGACCTTTCGATAGAACACCGGCACCGTGGAATGACTTCCAAAGTACCCGGCAGTGAGCTAGTTGGAGATTTCGATGAGTCGGAGCTTTCGATAGAACACCAGCACCGTGGAATGGCTTGCAAAGTACCCGGCAGCGAGCTAGTTGGAGATTTGGACCTTTCGATAGAACACCGGCACCGTGGAATGACTTCCAAAGTACCCGGCAGTGAGCTAGTTGGAGATTTCGATGAGTCGGAGCTTTCGATAGAACACCAGCACCGTGGAATGGCTTGCAAAGTACTCGGCAGCGAGCTAGTTGTAGATTTGGACCTTTCGATAGACCGCCGACACTGTGGAATAACTTGCAAAGTACTCGGCAGCGAGCTAGTTGTAGATTCGGACGAGTCGGAGCTTTCGATAGAACACCTGCACTGTGGAATAACTTGCAAAGTACTCGGCAGCGAGCTAGTTGTAGATTCGGACGAGTCGGAGCTTTCGATAAAAGTACTCGGCAGCGAGCTAGTTGTAGATTCGGACGAGTCCGAGCTTTCGATATAACACCGTCACTGTGGAATGATGTGGTAGCGGCGCGGTGACACCAGCAGAGGTCAGTGTTGTCCTCTAGTCAGGGCCTTCCTAAGCTGACATCATCGGAGCCCGGATAGCTCAGTCGGTAGAGCATCAGACTTTTAATCTGAGGGTCCAGGGTTCAAGTCCCTGTTCGGGCGTCTGCTTTTTTTAATATGTTCGCTTACGATTGGAGAGTTCTATAAATAATGTACATTGAAGCCTGAGGATCGCGGCTACGACGCAGTCACGGCGGGGGGGTTTTTTTGATATTTTCTGAATGCCGAGACCCTGTAGAATAAAATGTTGGCAGTTGCAAATGTTTTTGTTGCGCAATATTAGCGCGACTCCTTATTAGACCCCCAACGTTTAGTGAAAAATTGAATGAAATGCCCCCAGAACACAACAAAATACCCATTTTTTTTTTTATGAAATATAAAAGACGAGGTTACAAACGAGTATAAA